AACCCACAATTCACTATCCTTTTCCATGCCTCCCAACTGCTTATAAGGTTTTGCCCTTTTGTTTCGAGCCCCTGCTACATTTCTATCTCCATGGCAGGTTACCAATTCTAACGGTGTTTAAAACAATGACAAGACCCCGATGACTTGGGTGTAATTATCGTATATTTTTGTAGTGTGATTTGACGGAAATGCCCTCAATAAAATCTCTGTACGATGGGGTAATTTTGGTAAATGAAAAAATCTTATGGTCAAAAGTTCCCCAGCAAATGAACATGCGTGGTGAGAAAGGTGAAAGAAGGAGCGTCTGTTTCGGAGCCTTCCCGACGCTTCTTTTCATGTTTTCTTTGGCGGGTAGTCGTGTCCCCACCAGGAGATCTTCACTGCTACATATTTTTCTCTTGAATTGACCATTTTGCCCCTCAATACTCAATTTCCTGACTAACTTGTCCTTGCTTCGACCAATCAACTTTTTTTCCCCCCTACTCTTTACACAAACTGAGCGCAGAAATTTTCTATTTATAATTTAATTAAATTATTGCGATTGCGTTTTATTTGTTAAATTTATAAAATAACTAATTAATTTTAATTTTAAAATAATTTAATCTTATTCTTTATTATTATAACATGGTTTCTTGCTTTAAAGTTCCCGTACCTTATAAATTAATTATTTTGTAAAGTCAAAGATTTAATGATAAGCTTAGCTTAACATTTGTTGTTATGCATGTAGAAAACTGAGTTGGGCAGAGTAATTTAATTAAGTCTGTAAAATAAGTTACCAATAAATATCTTACGCTCTCATAATGGTTGCGTAAAGATTACGAGCAAAATAATATTTTAATTCACATTAAATACCTGAACGTAGAGATATAATGCTAACAACATTAAAAATAATATTAAAAATATAATAATAATAATAATAACGATACTATTAATAATTACAATAATATAACAACAATTATAAAAATAATAATAGTAATTTTTAATTACCAATAAAAATATCTTATACCATGGTTTGATTTTTATATAAGTATACCTTCTTGGTATTGGATGAGGACATGCCCTGCCCCTGCATTCAATGCAATTAATTAGTACGTGCTATTGTTTTGTATTTATATTTACATATTTATAATAAAAATATTTTGCATATTTAAATTGCTTGACTCATATATATATAATGTAAGAGATTAGTATAGAAAATATATATATATTTTTTGGTTTTTGTATTATACTACTAATTTAACATTTATAAATTAGTCGTGTGGCATTAAATATAAACAAAAGTTGGTAATCATGCCTCCATCTAATTAAGTAATCAAATCTTCTTTTACAATCAAAAACTTTCAAGCAATTAAATCTGAATACGTGACAAATTAATTATTTTTAATGAATCAAATCAACATAATTATTATAAAGAATCAAACCTCTCTACACGTATAAAATAAATAAGTATTTAATATTATTTGATAATTTTATTAATTTTTAATTGTTTAAATATTATTATTTTTTATAATATGAATAATAAAATAGAATATCATGATAATAATTGTTACAATAAACTTTAGTAAAAGTTTAAAAATTACTTATAGTGGGGAGATCATTGCAATAACACTTTTAAGCAGCACATAACACAAAATCAACTTGGAGTAATGTTGCAAAATATAGAATATGTAAATTTTTCAATTTTTAAACTAAATTTAAAATTTTAAATATTTCTAAATTAATTTTATACTTTTTTATTCCAAACATGCCGTGGAATATCCAAACGGCGTTTCAGACATTCAAACGGTTTTTAATAACCAGAAAATAATAATTAAAAAAACCTGTGAAGAGGAGGAGGGTAAAAGACGTTCTGACTCGTCTTCAGAGGTTCATAATGTCGCGTCATCAGTTTTATTATTTCTTCCTGAAATCTCTTTAAAAAAAAAACATTTATTAAGATCCCCCAGAAAAATTTCCCCCCCCCTTCTTTTTCTTTAATCCTCTAAAAAAATCTGTTAGAAAAATCCCCTACAATATACGTATCGGTGCGGGAAGAACAGTGGAGTAATTTACTTTACACTCTTCGGCCTTCGAGCCACGCCACCTCTCTCTTTCTCTTTCTCTTTCTCTCTTTTTCATACATAGATTTACTCATAATTTACATACATATACTCATTCGGTTCTGTGAAGAAAAGGATCTGATGATATCAGTACGACCTCCCCTTTTAAAGCACTCGTAGCAAAATATCCATTTTTATCTCCTTCCACTCGCTACACCCAATTCAATTTTTTCCCCTCTCATTTTGCTGCATGGCTATGAAAAGCAAGACCCACCACAACGCCAATGCCAATGCCACTAACGACAACAATGTCTACAACTGTGAGAGCTCCGAAAGTGCCACTAACAGTAACTCTCCCAGTCCCCCACCATCACCTCGCCGTCACTCTACCAATGGCACCTCTCACTGCCGCCGCCGTCTCCGATCCAAAACCCACTCCTTCTCTCGCCAGGATGCTCTCGCCGCCGCCGTCCTCACCCGCCGAAGTCTCCGTTATCTGCTCCTCCTGCCCATGTTGTACGTCTCTGGCCTCTTAATGTGCGTCGGGCCCTTCTCCGGTCTTGTGGGTCACTCACCGCTTCCCGGCTCCGTCTACCGTAGCCACGAGATCTTTCAGAAGCTCTGGGCTGATATTCAGGCTGACAATTCTTCGGCTATTGAGGTCTGCTCTTTTCTTTTGTTCCCATTTTCTGTTTGTTTTATGATTTAACTTTTTTGGGAGCTTTCCCCTGTTCAAGTAAAAACAAGGAGAGAGCGAATTTAAGGACTTTTTATTTATTTAAATTTAGTAACTGAATCTGGTCTGGTAGTAGAGATTGTCTCCAGTCCAGGTGGATTTTGAACCAGTGTTGTGTATCTCTGGATCTGTATCTACTAACTCAGCTCTGTGATTCTGATGGATGCCAATATTTTTCCCATAAAAATTTACTTTGGTTATTTTTGGCAATTGCTTTCACCAATCATCACTGAAAGTGATAGAGGGGCCTTGTTCATCTACCTAACAGCAAAAGTACAAGTTCTTCACTGATGGACTCCTTCGGTGCAAAATCTAAATGGAAAATTTTCTTTGAGAACTGGGATTTTCAAATATAATAATAATTTAATCTGGAGTTGAGCTTCTTCTGTTTTGTTTGGTATCATAAGCACTGTTTTTTTTTCTATGGATTGTTTTGCTTTATCTTTTGTTTTTATGTGGTGCATAATGTTTAATATTTTGATCATCGTCTGAGCTGCTGTACTGCTCCTTTTTGCAGTTGTCATCTGTCTGGAAGTACAAACGTCGGTTGAAAATGCAAAAGCCTTGTCCAAATTCAACTGCTGGATTACGTTTTGCTATGGAGGAAGGTAGCATACTTAGAAATTATTTAATACTGAGATATCTTTTTCAATCTACTTGTAAAGTTATACAGATGGGTTTTTCTTATCCAGATTCGTTAATATGGGAATATGCAGTATAGAGTCCCTTTTGAAAATGGAAATTGTTTTCCATTTCTCTTATAGGACTTATTTTGTATTTGATGTATAAATTGGCAAAGAAATGAGCCATAGTTCATTTGTTAAATTGATGTCTCTTTTGAATTTCAGTGTCCTCTGGACCTAGTGGTTACTTGATTGTTGAGGCAAATGGTGGTCTAAACCAACAGCGTTCTGCGGTATGTTATTATTTTCAGTGCTGGTTGCTGTACTTCTTGTATTTCTGTATGTATTTTCAGAATTTAAGTTGACTCAGCGTACTGGTTTCTATACTTCTTGTATTTCCATGTGTATTTTCAGAATTTAAGTGACCCATTAGATTGTACAGTGTAGATGCTCTTGCATATGTCTGGAAAGCTTGTTCTAAGCATTATGTTTTCTGTTTCTAGATATGCAATGCAGTGGCTGTTGCTGGACTTCTGAATGCAATTTTAGTTATACCTCAATTTGAGTTCAACAGTGTCTGGAAGGATGCAAGGTATAACTTAGTCACATGTTTTTCATATTACCAATTTTCATTTAAAGGATATCCAACATGCAATACAGCAAATACCCCGTATATTCGCCCCGCCTCTCCACCTCATCTTAATGGCTGCCC